AAATCGATTACCCAAAATCGTTCCTAACGCCCGTCTCCCTGAAAATTCAGCTATGTTTCAAAAATAGGTTGAACATTATTTTCAGCAATGGAAAGTGATGAACCTAGTTTTTACGGGTACTAATCCCTCGTGTTTTCCATACTAATCTTCAATGGCATCGTTGCTTTCATTCATTTTTAACCGTAGCTTTGTTTGTAGAACCGTTTTCGACCTGAATTCCAAGCTCGAATGCCTAACCGAACGGTCGGGTAGGACTCAAAAAAAAGCTAAACGAAATAAGTATTTAGGGTTTTCCCACATGAATTTACTGCCATCATGCTGGGCATTGTATCGCTGAATTCACGCTGCAAAGCCGTGTCGTAGATGACAATCCCAGGACGTAAGGGAACACACAACATTACTACCTCTTTTTCTTTAGTTACCCTCTTACATGGCATATAGCATATTCTGCAATATTTATAGGCTACAACGATGAGGTTGATTAGCGGGAGATGGTAATTATGACATGTACTTTGGGGATTTGTTGCATCTGGGAGTTGCTACAGAAAAAAGCAAGCAGAGAGAAAGTTGAGCAAAGTACTACCTGTGGTGAATTTCTCCCGACGGGAAGGGCGTCAGGAACGCGTGGATCGGCGGTAGCGAACTCATTACCGAATCCGGTTTGATAGTTGAGCTGAAATTCCAAAAATGAACAGTTGTCGCGACTTTTCGAACAAATATTGTGAAAAAAAATCCGATTCACATATCAAAAACAGTGTTGAGTCAAACAGAGGTCACGCAAGAGCCTATCAATTCGAAGATCGAAGAAGAACCAGAAGACAACTCGTACTTCTTCGGAACTGTGTGTTAGGCCATACTCGGCTATGCGGTTATTAAATTAGTAAGTAATTAAACTCATTACAAAGTAGACATTATTAAAATTAGAACCAAAACATCCAGCAGGAATCGCAATCATAAAATTTTCAACATCAAACATTCAAGATTAGAAAAAAACTCCCTTCAAAAAAGACCCCGATCGTCTCCCGATTTTACGAGGGTGTTACGGATAGCAAAATGTTTTTTGATTCAAAATACTTTTATATTCATAAAATTCAATCGATACGGCTGCTGTCAAGTTGTCATCAAGTTTTCAATGTGGAGGGAAACGGAAAGCAAATGAATGAGCTAATCGCCAGCAATGTTCAATGAGCATTACCAGTAGCGTAAGAAGAGCATTAATAATTGAAACATGGCTTAATGCGTGTACTGACTTGGTCGATTAAGTAGCCCAGTAGGGAAAGCAGCCCAAGTGGCTGTGTGGGTGGCTACAGCTCTACAGCTCGTCTGACTGATGGCAAATTGACGACCATAATGACCGGAACAGAACTTTATTGCTTGGATTTCCTGAATCTTTCCCTGCACCTCTCCACCAGCCATCAATGGTCAAGAGTAAAAATGGTTACTGAAATGAAGACAGAAAAAGGAATAGAAAGAGGTATAAACCGGATTCATGAAGAAGTCATATCTTCGGGGGGTGAAAGTTTTTGGAACCATAGGAATATCTGGTTTAATTCCCCAAGAAGGGAAAATCCTGATCATGATCCACTTGTTGTGCAAATGCAGAAGGTTTTTCATAGCAAAACTACACCATTACACGGACCACAGATGGAACTTTGGTCAGATAACCAGTTACAGCGCAGTTCCTAACTGCAAATTGGGTGAAAGCCAGAGAAATAAAGCGTAACGAGAACGAGATTCATTCATAAAATCTGAGATATCCAAAAGGTTTGTCAATTGTTGATGCTACCACTTGTGACCCAAACACCTGCACTTGCTGGCAAACTACAAAAAATCGCTTAATTCCAGTACAAATAACAAAAAATGAAAAATAGAGGAATCAGCGGTCAAGGAAAAATTCGTAAGGGGCATGGGGTCATTCATACCTCATGGGTGGACTGAATTCTTAATGAATTCATGACTAGTCATTCACTCAAACCAAACACTACTTGTGTTGGGGATTAATGAGACAAGGGCCAAAAGTTGTGATTAGTTGTCGATGGCTACCCAGCAATGGGAAGTAGGGCTAGTTGTGCAGTCGAGGGCCGCTTCGTCCAACAATAAGTCAGCTTATGGGCATACATTTTTCTCGAGTTTCCCAAGTCGATACCCTTCCAACCAAATTCTCTTCTTTTCATGCTCCTTGTTTATTGGATTGTTGGAACCGTTGAAGTCATCTCGAGCAAAAAATCAAGCCATACTGTTTGCAAATAAAAATCACTTCAGTAACGAAATCACGGGAAGTAACTTCCTCAGCTCCCTTTACCACTACTACACAGTAGGAGGAGAGATAGGGGTTGGAGCGGAGCCAAGACATGTGCCCGGGATGAGTTCTCATAATATAGCAGTGCAGCCCGAGTAAAGCACCCATTTACGAACAATCAGATATCTCTCAGAGCCGGCTATGCCATTGAAGAGATGATCCCAAGAAACTGAATGGACCCGAGGGATTGCAAAGCACAGCTGCAAAAAGCGCAAGCAAGGCTATCGCAATGATGAAGGGGGCCCAACGGTGAGAAGATCAAGCTTATCTACTCACACTTCTTAATGAGAAGCAGCTAGATCATCAGAAGGATTGAAGCCTAAAGCGAGGAAGAGAATTTTCGTCAACTGAGCTGAGCCCTCACAGTATAGAAAGAGAGAAGAGCAGTAGTCAAACTGTCTATGGAACCCTTTCTATGGAGAATTGCTCCTTCCGAAATTCGGTGGAGTGCAGTTCATGCACTAACCAGGGAAGGATCCCAAGTCGAAGTGGCCATTTGAAATGAGACCTACACTGCTAGACGTATTTTTGGATGCTGAGTT